CTCAAAAATTGCGCATTAACGTTTTTAGAAAAAATAAGTTTTTTTTAAAACGCTTTTTTAAACGCTATCTTCGAAATTACTGGAGAATTTATCTAATTTTTTTTCTTTTTTTTTTTTTTTTTTTTTTTTTTTTTGGACGCAGAATTGTTCACACTTTCGATTCGAAAAAAGAAATTAAACAAATATTGATTTTTCGCGAAAATATTTGACTTTAAAGTTGCGCGGATCTCTCAGATCCAGTCTACAGTCAAAGACTTTGCTGTTATAATAAAATTATAATAATTTTTAATTAAAAGTTTGTTGTAGAAAAGAAACTATGAAGTACTGGAAAGCAAATAAATTTTGCACGTATGAATTATTTTTTTGCAAAATAATACATATATTTACGTAAATTCAATACGTACAATTTTAATACGATTGTTAGAAGAAAACTTGTGATATATTTTTCAGCTTGAGCGTAACCACTTCTATATATCCGGTGCCTAGCATCTGCGCGGCCGATCAAATGACGGATTGGTTTGATTCTCTCGCCGAATGCCTTCATTGGAACGTAAGGAAACGGCAGAAGCACCTGGACGAGTTGAGTGACCTCGCGCATTCATCTAGCAACGATACCTTAGACTCCTTTGAGACAGATCGAGACAGCTAGGTGTCACGGATATTTCTTATAGACTGCAGCACAATCGACAATATTTGACCAACTCCAAGAGTCAACTTGGCTAAAAAAAAATCTCGTAATCAAATAAACTCGATAGATTATTAAGTAACTGCTTCCATGTGTTGGGCAAAATCTTTTATGTACAAAAAAGAAATTTACACGCCAAAAATGTCGCGGAAAAAAAACCAGAATATGAAATTAGTAATTATCGGTAAAGTTGTGTTCTGCAAGATTGTTCTCTGCAAATGGAAAACATTTTACGCGTAAGAACTGTGAGCTTGAAAAAAAAAAAAAAACTATAAATAGATTATTGTAATGAAAAAATTACGTAAATAATGGTTATATCACACACGAGTGTGTGTGTATGGATTTTTTTATTCCTACTGATATAAATGATAAAATGCATTTGATGCTTTTTTCGAAGGAATTTATATTTACCAGCAAAACCATATATGGTTTATTTCGATAAATTATTAAATATAATATATTATACTACTTCGAACTTGGATACATTTTGTTTATTATAACTGCATTTTAATCCAAATGGCTCATGGATTGCTTAAGTCTTTTTATATTTCACCGAAACATCTGTACAGATATTTTCACGTTCTCTCTTTTGTTACAGATTAATGTAATTATCCAGGTACTAATATAATAGTAAATATAGTAATTGGACAATAATATAATTATTCAATTACTATAGGATACATTATGCATAGTAATCTTTAAATTACATTAATAAATAATAAAGATACTACACCATTTTTTTTATTAATATATAATTAATAAAATCCATATATCAATTTAATCTAACTTTTGTGTTTTCCTACGTAAATATGAAGTATAAGTCTTTTGAATAAACAATATGTTTTATATAAAATATATTTGTTACATCTCTTTTTCCCTCACGATCACTATACAGTGTCTCGAACAATATTATCAAAGAGGAAGAGAAATAATTGTAACTTATGAAATTTTATTTCAAGAGTAAATTTATTTGTTTGCAACACATGACATAGAAATATACATTATATGTACACCGCAGGAGAGACATCAACACTTATATGTCTCTTTCGTCACGTACGTTGTAAGTATCGTAAGAAATCGGATGAAATTTCCAAAAATCCGTTGATTTTGGACATCCAATATTATTTCTGCAATAGTTTTTGCAGAGAACAACGCATTTTATACGAATTTGTCCGATCAAATAACGGATTCGGAAAATTCCGGGTGTCTCTTATGTATATATATATATATTTGTATAATCTAACTATACTTAGCACATAAATATCTATATATGATCCCCGAAACTCTTTTACATTTGGCTATATCAGTCATGAGCATGTTGATGTGTGGGCGAATGATATAAGTCAGCGATATGTTATTTTACACTAGTCATATGTACACTATGATGCGATATTTAAAGAGAAGATGGGTTTTTACTTTAATGTACAATAATTATATATGGGGGAGCTTACTTTATTTTATTATATTTAAATAATTCCTCCTTAAGTTAATAGCACTACCAGTCTATTGAGAGAACTCGTTAGAATCATATCTGTTTTGCACAGCAATTAAAAGCTGCTCCTGTCTGTTTTAAGCCAAATTCTAAAATTTATCCGTTCGGTATCATGCAAAATTCTAAAAGGTCTTTACTTTTTTTTCTCAGTAAGATATGAAACTTCTTAATGTGTAAAAATTATTATCTAGGACTTATTTCTAAATAATATTTTTGCTTAGTCACTTCTCTAAACAATTTTAAATTTATATATATATATATATTGAACTCGCACGCGTGTCTTCGTCTGTTGATTGACAAAGTGTCACAAAACGATCACGATCACAATGTAGTTTAAGTCGGTTTTGTTTTACATAAATTCCGAAACAATCTGCATCGCTTCGTGGTTCTGATCTCGTTTTGCCACTTCTAGTGCCTGCAATTCATGTACGTGACTTCTTCGTTGTTTACGATGCGAATGTAAGTAGTGCAGGCTCGGACGAAAAGTGCAGGCACTGTGGAAAAGAAAAACAATAAAAATTTTCGGATGAGAGTACACAAAAAAACTAAATTAAATTATTTGCAACTACAGATTAGTCAGAAAAAACGCATTCGCAAAAATAAGTTTTCGCAAAAAAAGTAAGTTTCTTGTTTTTTTTTCTTTTTTTATGAAATATTAATTTTGCTAATTACATTGCTAAAGTCGTAAATATGATTCACAAATTCATTCTGCAAAAAAGCACGTGCGTTCGGTGAATAATATTTAACATTTTAACATTACTTGACAATATATCAACAATTTAAGTTTGTGCATAGACATTTCCAAATGTTTGTTAAATCTACATTCACAGAACGTCGGCAATATGGGGTTAACATATTCCTGTGTGTTTCGTCGTATTACTTCAAGCATTAATCTCACGTAAACGTATCAAGGCCCAAACGTAAGTTAGTATTGTTAGATCACACACTCACATGCCTTCTGATCCAAGTCGCGGTTCTCGCAAGAAGGTTGCTGTACATAATCGGCCGGTTTCAATGGTCGGCCGTCCTGATCCTCTATCTGAATCACCAGGCCGTGATTGTTGCTGTTGCCTTGCGCATCCTGCGAGTTCAGTTGCCAGAATCTCAAACCTTGCCTGACGTCCAGCGCGAAATGAGTGCCCTGGGCCGTGAGCGGCGTCACGACGGAGTCCATAAGCCGTTTCTTTGCTGTGGAGATCGCAATTTTTCTTAAATTCTCGAAATATTTGCGCGCGTAAATTCGATAACCCCCCCCCGATTATACATTACTGTCGACACTTACGTCGATGTTTCTTCAACGCTTTCGTGTAATAGTAAACCGATATTCTGATTTTCTTCTCGTCAACCTCGTCCTCGTCCGCGGATGATGTGATATTGTCCTGCGGCAGTTTGTAGATACGCAATTTCGCGGCGGCAATATGATCAACGGAAGTTAGATTCAATTGGAAATGCATATTCATCGAAAACTGATCCGCCCACGCTTCGGGATCTGTGTTTCGGGGTATCTGACCTGCACAATCAACATCGTACAACGTCTCGTTAAAGCAATATAATACATACATACATATATGCGTGTGTGTGTGTCCCAATGTTTTCCTGACACGCAAACACACACACACATATATGTATAACTTTTTATTAACAACGTGTAAAATACATGTGAGCCTTTATTACATGATCATCGAGTTAGTAAGCTACTTACATGTGGGCAAAAACATGGTGAGTCTCTCACGTTGAACCTGGTTGGTGTTGGTGCTGTGATTAAGTCGCCCCGTTATCACGAGGATTCTCGTTTTAATATCCTCGATCGCTTTCTGACCCTGACTGCAAAGACAAATCAAAGTTTGTTAGATTTTACACGCAGCGTAAAACGAATTACAAGTCTCGCGTCCAATCTCTTATCGCATAGAATGAACAAACAAGCACAAACACACATATATATATATATTCTGTATAAAGCGATCTCACAACTTCAGCAAAATAATGTTATTGAAATGAGTTTTTTTATTCGTGTTAATATCTCTCGTTATCGGTTATTAAAATATCGTTTTCAGGAAAAACTCGATAAAGCGGAAATTTAAGTCAGAATGTGTAGATAAGTTATCACACACACAGTTCTCTATTTTGAAAAGCAACATTAGAAAAGTTGTTCTGTGCGCCAAGCAATTGAGCGAAAGATCTGAAAGCGGCGCTTTGCCTTAAAAAAATAAATAAATAAACATATTAGGTCTACCGGAAAGTTCTGTCCGTTTTTGTAGAATAAAACAAAATACAAATTTTTCTTAATTTTTCAAAAATGGGATATACAAATTGCCCTCACGCTGGCAAGAAATCATTAATAATAATGGCAATTATATTATTTAATAAAGTTTATTGACGGTAAGAAAAATTTGTATTTTGTTTTATTCCAAAAACGGACAGAACTTTCCGGTAGACCTAATTTATACATATGTATATTAATAAAAAAAATGTTTAAAAAAATGTTACAAAAAAAAATTAACAAAATTCTCTGCAAATTCTCAGTCGTTATTTAAAATGTTCTTTGAATATATTATTCTCCGATATGCTTTTGGGTGAGAATTCTCAGCCGCGTAGTTTCGTAACGCGATCGAGAAAGGATCGTTTCCTCATAAAACCTAATGCAGCGGCGCGTCTGCCGGCTCGAGAATTTTCACCTCAGGTTCCCAGGCGGACTCTCTTCCGGGTGCCGATGGCGCGGGCCAATGGACTATGGTCAGTGACCTACAGAGGCACGGTACGGCTCGGAGGCATTTATTACATGTGGCAGACAGCGGCTAGACAGTCGGCGGATACACCGGCACCCCAATCACCTCGACTTTCTGTCTGGTCTCGGCGAAACCTCAACTTTTTAAGGCCACGTCTCTCGAATCTTAAAAAGTCCACTCCCAGGACGTCTCGGGTCAGGTCTCATTTGCATCCTATCTCTTACCTCGGCGGCCTACCGGGGACTTTTTTCGTCGGCGCTTGTTGAACGTCGTCGGTCGTTAGCGTGACTCGAATTTCACGCCTTTCTCCGAACCGAGACTCGATTCGTGTCTGTCTTCATTCGGCGCCACTCTGATTTTCGGGATTTCGCGATCGAATGTGAAATTGCGGTCTCACGTTTTTTTTTTTTTTATCGATACTAGGACGAAGAAGTTGTTTACACGCGCGGATCGGGAGCCCAGACGGCCTTCTCGGACTTTCATCAAGGAGAGACGAGACACCGGTGACTGTCGCATTTTGAAAGACGTGTGCGTCTGCGACGATCGGTCGGAGCGCGCGCCGCTTGCCCGCCGGATTGCATAATAAATTTTTTTTTTCAGACATTTTTTACCGGCGGCTCTGGCAAAATAGGATAGAGAAGCGAGACACGCACACACACACACACGACGGGACGAAAGGAGAAGAAGGATGAGTGTCATTTCTCTACGTCATCGACAAGGACCGCCGTGTTCGCGACGCCCACTCGGGAGATTTCAGCGCAGCCTCCACGTCAACGACCTCGTTGGCTGCCCGAGCGCCAACCAGAAGAATGTATTTCCCTGAATGGCGGAAAAGAGAAGAAAAGAAGAAGAGATGCGGGAGGCGGGGGAGTAGAGACGGAGAAGAGAGGGAAAACGAATCCACAAGCGAAAAGAAACAGGCTTAAAAGGCTTTCCTTTTCGCAAATTCAAATTTCCTTGAATCTTTGAGGTTTGACGCGTAAATGCAAACCCCCATATTTAAAAAAAAATAAATATAGCAGGTATTTATTAAAATTCGTCCCTTAAACTTTATGGATTTTGTCTTGACTCCACAAACGGGCATCTAAAGTTTGCGTGACAATAATAATTGCTAATTGCCGGGTTGCCCAAAACTAAACGATCTGTTTTTTTTTTTTTAGAAAAATAGTCGAGAGGAGAGAGATACGAGCGCTCTTCTGCGAAAAAAAAACCTGATCTATGATACACGCCGGAGCCGGCTTTGTGTTCGATTCTAGGCATGCTCGTTAATCTAACCGCGGCCAAGTCACGCGTCGGGCTAGCTACGTGCCACGTCTGTCCGCCGTCTGGAAAAGGGAAGAAACCTGAAGAAGAGTCTGGAGGCCGTTGCATCATGAGAAATCCGGCGCGGTGAATCCTTGGTTCTTCGTTTCGCTTCGTGGTCGCGCCGGGTGTCGCGCGATAATGAAATTCATTGGAGCACGACCGGGAGTCGCCGTGTCCGTCATTAGCGTTGGAAATTAGACAGGGAAACGAGGGGGGGAGGGAAAAGAAAAGAAAAAAGAGAAAGGAAGAAAGGAAGGAAGAAAGAAAGAAAGAAAGAAAGAAAAAAAGAAGAGAGAGAGAGAGAGCGCAATCGGCGCGACGGTGAAAATTTTAATGTTCCGGGCCCCGGAATGTCTGTTAGAGTTTAAGAAAAAAGAGCCGAATGGGAAAAAAGAGAGAAATGGAGAGAAAGAATAGTGAAGAAACGGTTCCTCGCGAGACGCGATAGGCCGACGACGTGTAACCGGCGCGGCGGCCTGATTGGGCCGTCCGTAAAAATGCACATTGCACCGTCTGGCGGTGCGACGGCGGCGGCGGCGGCGGCGGCGGCGGCGGCAGCGGCGGCGGTGCTGGTAGCGGCGAGATGCAGAACAGAAGGGGACAGAGGGGAAAGAAAGAGAGAAAGAGAGAGAGAGAGAGAGAGAGAGAAGGAGAGAGAGAGAAAAAGAGAGAGATAGAAGTGAAGGGTCCGTGGGGATCACCGGCGAAAACTTCCTCCTCTCTCTCCGTCGCGCGCACTGTCGCTCCGTCTTCGTCGACATAGGAAGAGAGACGCATAGACAAGGTCAACGCATTAAATTGAAATGTGTTACGTAACCTCGTAAGAGAGTTCTCTAACTGCAGCCCGACTAGACACCCGGCGATTACGGGGGTGCTCAACTCGGTCTTGTCTCGAGGCATGAAATTGCGCGCGGGCGGCATTCGTCGCGCGCGCTTCTCACTCCTATTGTGCTTCTCGTCGCGAAAGAGGCTCGTCCAGATGCCCAGACATGACATCCTCCCCCCCTCCCCCTTTCCCCGTCATCATTTAGATCAACCGCCCGGCGTTCGCTTATCGCGCAATCTAGGGAATCAGTGGTCGCGAAGCAATTAAAAACGAGAGAAAGATTTAATATGTAAGACAAAAAACAGCTGAAAGTAAATTTTTGTCATCATCAGAAAACACACAAGTCAAAGAGAGATGCGCAGATCAACAAAACAATATATAATCTTGAATTTTGAAATGCCGCGCGATGATATTAAATTAATTTTTTAACTAATTTACTTTGAAGAGAATAAAATTCGTTTCTATCTCGCGTGAATCGAGAACGAGGATGAGAGAAGAGCGCGGATTAGAAATAAAGCAGAGACGCCGTGTGTAAAAGCCGTGTGGTGGATAATATCCGGCGGATTCCCGACGAGATGCAACCGCGCTCACGATCGTGCGAGCGATGCACGAATGCATCGGCAACAGCACGCGCTCGAAGGAGGACTCTCGAGACGGGCTACGCCAGTGCCGGCACGAATGCATTTTACGCGTCTAGACTTAATAAAATAAAAGAAACGCCCGCGCACTCACACACGAGTGAGGGGGCTGCGAGCAGTCGTGGGGAAGAGCGGGAGAGAGAGAGCGATTTAAAAACATAGAGAGACCGCAGCGGAATTTCCACCGCGTATCCTTCCTAGCTGAGCACTGTCCCTAAACCTGTCCCTCGTTCAGACTTTATCGCCCTGCGGGGCTTGTCCCTTTACGAAATGATTATTATTCCGATTAGCGCGCACGTCGTGGTTGCGCATAGACAGAATATTCCGCGAGTTACGGAATATTACGTCAATTCAACTTTTTTTACGAAGATACAATTATTGTTATTATTTGTTTTTTTCCCCTCAGATTTCACGAAGATTCGCAATTATTCGCGAAACGAGAAAAAAATATCTCTTCGTCAGATATGTTCTGTATAAAAAAAAAAAAAAAAAGAACAATTAAGAATCGCACGGGGAAACATTCGCGCACGCGAGCGATAATGACAAAAGCGCGCAAAATTTTCCCGACGCGTCGCTGAGTTTTTCTTCGCTTCTCCTCCGACTCCGCGATACTTTTATATCTGTTCATCGAGATATTTTTACGTGACGAGGGCAACGTTTTGCTGAGAACGCTAATGCCGGTTCGACGACGTCGGCAAAACTTGCGCCTTGTGCGCCGCGCGTACATCGAATCTACGAATCAATTTCCACACATTATTATCGGCGCGTGTGTAACGAACGAATACGTTAGCAAAAACGGGAAAAAAAAGATCCGTGTGTGTTTCAACAACGAGATTACGTAAAACTTGTCGAGAAGCAAAGCTTTCCGACGCGTCGAATCATTATCTCTCTTTTAGAGATTTTTAAAATTTTTCTCAGATTGCGCGCGCGCCATTAAAAGTTCGTGTAACAAAAGTATATCATAACATAGAGCAATAAAGATCTCGGAGTGCGACGTAGAAATCTATCTGAAACGTAAATACCGCGAGAATATAACACGCGTGAATGATTTTTTGCGCAATTTCTTGGCGCTTCGTCGAAACTTCGTCGAGATACGCAAAATTGGCTCGTGTGTAAGCCATAAAATTATATATACATATATATATAATATATATAAAGTCAAATGTCGTAAAATTCACAGGCAATTACAAGCAGCAAAACACATGTGTGAATAATTTCTCTTCAGATCGAACGAGAGAAAATATTATTAACACTAGATATATACCAGCTATTTAAATATACCTATTAAAAAATACAAAAAATATATTTGTTACGAATATATATAAATTAACATTAGGTTCATAAAATGTATTCTCTACTTGTAGCTACAAAAGTCATAATTCATCATTTCGGAAAGCAAATGTTACATGCGGTAAAAATTTTGAATTGAAATTGCACGACCAGAGTCAAAATGACTCTGGTCTGGCAAATCTAGTGTTAACTTCGTCGCATCCGCGACGATAACACACATTCATGCAAAATACGAGAGAATAGAATTGTTGATGCGCGCGAGCGAGGAGAGTGTTAAAAGAAGCGCATTCGCGAAAAAAATAAATTGAGGAAAAAAAACGCACGGCACACCGGAACGCCTTACCTATGGGCCTCCGTGGAGGCTTACCTGTCGAAGCTTGAGGTTACGTTTTCTCTAGAAGATACAAAAAGCATCGTTGTAGATACTCGATTTGCATTTGCCAAGCGGAAAGAGAGCGCGTGACGAACAACATTTAATAGAAAAATTTAACTTAATTAACTTAATTCGGGTACGAGAAAAAGTGTGTAATCTTTGAAAAAAAAAAAAACAAAAAACAATTACTTGAAAACTATACTTAATAATATACTTTTCTTTTACGATAACCGACATTACTTAATATTGTCAAGAGTTACTCTCTTCTTTTTTTTGTAATTCACTTTTTCTCATACTGCAAAGATTTTGTTCTTTCGTTTCAACTTACTCTCGATGATGGGCCATCATCAATTGCTGATAGGCGGATAGATTGGTCTGCGATGCGTTCTGATTGGACGCGTCGAAAGATTTCATCGGATCCGGATCGTCGTTCTGATATCCCAGCGTGTCGGTTTCATTGCCATCCGAATTCCGCCCCTCGTAATCCGACGTCTCGTTCTCATCGGCGTACATCCGCAATGTATCTTCGAACTCCGGTATCACCCTGTAAACATCATCCTCAATCCATTCCAACCCCTCGAACTCGCCGATCTTCTTCTCGCCGACCGTGTTTTCCGTCGTGCTGGACATCGCGTTAGCCGTGTCAACGGGTTCTGGCGTCTCGGATTCTGGAGTCGTGCTGAAGGAACGTCCTTTTCTGGCATAATTGGACCTGGAGCGTTTGCCCAGCTGGTAAACTACGGGAAGTAGAGAGTCCCCGGTAGCTGGAGAAGAAGCAGACGAAGAAGAAGAAGAAGAAGAAGAAGAAGAAGAAGACAATGACGAAGCGTGAAAGGAGTTAGCAACGTTCTTGGCAGTCGTGTGTCTCAAGGTCGAGGGAGCGCGATGTTTCGGTTCAACTTTCGACGGTCTCTCCTCGGAGCTGGAGTCGAATTCAGAATCGTCGTATGGAATTTTGAAGATCACATGAGATTCCGTCGAGTCATCCCGTTCTCCAGAATTTCGCGACTCGTCGTCGTAATCAAAATTCGTCGTCTCGGGCCACGAATGTTGAGAATCGAATTTTGACGCTCGATCCTCGTAATCGATTACCGCCTGACGATTGTAAGCGTCGTAATCGAAATCTTTCTTGTTGTATTGATTTTTTCTATTCTCGTTCGACGAGACATCATCAACGTCGGGATCGTTGCGTCGGGACGTCGATTTAACTTCCATGTAATCCCAATCGTTCGCTTTTCCGTACAAATTTTCATTGTAGAATCTTTTTCCAGAAGAAGACTCGGTTCTTCTTCTCAATTCATCGTCCTTTCGTTTGTCGAATTTTTGCTGGCGAATCGCGTGCACGTACTCGGGAGTGTAATTCAAACTCTTCAGCAGCAACATCTCGGCCGTGCCGAGATCACCCATTATTATCTTTAAGATCGCTTTTTCCAACATCCTCTCAGCTCTCCGCGCGTTGTAGGTGCGCGTTTCAACATTATTTGAGGTTTCCGAATGTTTTTCATTTTTTTCCAGCGATTCCGTTTTTACATCGTCCGCGACGTTGTCACTTCCGACATCGATCTCACGTTCGACAAAATCAACGTGGCCGTTCTCCTCCTGTCTGTGTTCCGGATAATAACCGTGGCGACGACGATGATGATGATGATGATGAGACGATGCGTCAACGGCGAGGATCATCAATAGAAGAAACACGAAAGACTTCGTAATGCCCATCTTGTCGCAGGTGAATCAAACTTGTCCGAGAAACCTAATATGCGCGACGAAGATCAGAATGAACTTGAAATGCTCAACTGTGTTTTCGGAAATTATTTTCAATCTGTGTATGTGTGTGTGTGTGTGTGTAAATTTTTATTAATTCCGCAAAAACGCGAGCTTCGAAAATTATGCGAGAATATAATCTTCAAATTTGTCTTTCCGACCCTCCCTCAAAGTTTCTTCGCCGATAATTCGCGTTCTTCTCCGTTATTTGAATATAATCGTTCGCGTCGATTCTAGCACTGCGGAAAATGAGGAAGCGCGAATAATATCTTCTCCTTTCGATTCTTCGAATGTTTTTTTTTTTTTTCGATCGAAATTGTCCTCGAGAAATCGTCACCTCAATTAGCGCGCGTGCCACCTCCCGTCACACTGTTTAAAGCCGCGGCGCTTCTACGAATGGGGCAACTCTCTCTCTGCAAGAGAGCACGTCAAAGCACGTGAAAGAAGAGGAAACCGTTTCTTCCGTGGCGGAGGCGTGTTAGCGAACTGGACTGGTGATTGGTTTGCCGGCGAGTCGTAGACTAAAGATTCTAATCGCACGAGGAAAGGCTCGAGGTGCGTAAGTAGGAAGGATTCGTATGCGTGTGCACGCTCTGAGCAGTAAGTCTCAACTGAGCTGGTGCTGGCCAGCTCACAGACATAATTCTGTCTACTCACATTTCTGTCTAACGACGAAGCCGCGAGAGGAGACGCGCCGGTGTTACTACGATGACTCCTTTTTTCTTCCCTCTCCTCCCCCTTCTATCCTTCTCTCTCTCTCTCTCTCACTCTCTCTCTCTCTCTCTCTCTCTCTGTCTTTCTCCTACTCGCGTTTCGCGCTATCTCTCTCCCGCTGTATCTCTTTCTCTCTCTCTCTCTCTCTCTCTTTCTCTCTCTCTCTACACCACCGTCGCCTCTCACGTCGGCCTCCACTCTTTCTCCTCCACTCGTTCAAACCCGGGTAACCCCTTTTCCTCGCGCGCACCGAAATCCCGCGGAGGACAGCCTTTTCTCTCCTCGCGACGTTTCACCTCCTTCTTCTTCCGCCCCCTTTGCTCCGTCACCGTTTCCTCTTTCTTTTTCGTTCTCTTCTTTATATTCTTCCTCTTCGCCGCGAATCTGCCTCCCGATGATGATTACCCGGGGATCGTGCCGAATCGAGCTGGTCCGCTGACCAGATTCCCGCGATTGTCCCGATCTCGTTTCGTCCGCGTTCGCGGGATTATATCTGTACTACGGTTCGCATTGAATTTCGCGAAGCTTGTTGCGGAATTGTTGTTCGGTCTTTTGTATTTCGATCGTACGAGTTACTCACGTGTACTTCCCCAGAGAATCTACTTGCAAAGTAGAGTCTGCGGTCTTCTTCTGCAGGTAGGTATTATCTACTTTTTTCCTCCTCTCTCTCTCTTTCACCGCGAATGCAATTGACACTTCTCACGCCGGACTTTCGCTACCAAAAGAAAAAAAAAACTTGATTTCAATCTTCTGCCGTGCGATCACGCGAGTGATCGTCTTTTTTTGTTTTTTTTTAGGTACTTCGTTACTTACTTGAGAAACGAGAAGAAGCTCCCGTATGAGAGGAGGAACGAAGTAAGGGAGAGAGAAAGAAGTCTCTCTCTCTTTTTGTTTTCGTTCGTTCCTCGGTTTCCACGAAGTGTCGGTCGGGCGAGATTAAGTATCCCTCTGATTGAGCGGCTTCACAAGTAATCGTTTGCGACGAAATGTGAAGTTGAAGATAAAAAAAAAAAAAAAAAAAACGAGAGATGCAGCAGTCACACAGGAATGTACGGCGAGATCTGTACCAGAGAATTGTACAACAAGGCTCGTCGTATTCGGATAGTCGTTTCAGGAGCAGCCACGTGCGACTTTATAGGGTGTCCCCCTCTCCGCTGTCTAGACGAATCGAAAGATATGATCTTTGAATCATAATGTATCGCTTTTAATAAATGCAGCGCCGATCCGCGCGAGTGCGTAAAACTGCGATACATGCCAACACACACGCCGACGGCGTGGATCCGAGGAAAAAAACCAAAATAAAAAAATAAAAAAAAGAATCCGTGACAGACTCACTTTGTTGCCACGTGTGAAAATGCGTGGAATTTCGATTCCGCTTCATTATCCAATATAAGAAGCTATTTGGTGAATGAAATATAAATGGTCGAGAGAGAGAGAGATGAAATATGCGTAAACGAGACAAAAACATCGGTTTAACGAGCTCGGTGACTTGTTAATACGTAATTCTCATGTTTTATTTTTATTGTGCGTAGACATTTCTTTTTATATAATAGTTTTCTATTAAAAAAACACAACTTTCGTAATGTATTCCTATATAAATATTAATTGTCGCACGCGGTTTTTTGTCAGACGACTGCGTTAAAATATTAGGTCTACCGGAAAGTTCTGTCTGTTTTTGGAATAAAACAAAATACAAATTTTTCTTACCGTCAATAAACTTGATTAAATAATATAATTGCCATTATTGTTAATAATTTCTTGCCAGCGTGAGGGCAATTTGTACATCCCATTTTTGAAAAATTAAGAAAAATTTGTATTTTGTTTTATTCCACAAAAACGGACAGAACTTTCCGCTAGACCTAATATACCCGCGAAGACACTACGGAGAGGACGAACTTGACAAGTCGCATTATCGTAATTTTAGAAGAGAACGATTTTGAAGTTTCGAAACGCGTACATGTATATTTCTCCGTATCACACACGTGTTACACACGTGTTTTAGAAGAACGTTTTTTTTTTATCTCGGAATCTATCAACAATTTCCCCCCTCTCGCTTTGGATAATTGAAACGCCGCGTTTTAACTACGAAACGTAACATCAAAGACAGGAAAATCGAAAAAAATTTGACTTGTGAAGTTCTTTTCCTGTTGAAGTTCTTTTCCTGCGTACGTAGATAAATTGCGTTTCAACTCAATCTGCATGTAACGCAATCGCATCGGAAAGTTTTGACCGATTTGGTCTCGCATACCCGAGACATGCTATTTTTTTTTATTATAAAGTAACATATTTTCCAACAACAACATTTAAAAACAATACCTAACAACACATATACATTTTAAAATAAAAAATATTATTCTTGTAAACATTTTCTTTTTTGCATTTCAAAATAAAGCGTCGCGACAGTCGTAAAATATGTTTAAAAATGTAACGCAATACATCGTTCCCACAAATCGATTCGTGAGACCGTCAATGACGAGCGTAAAAGAGAACAAAAAAACAACCAGAAGACTCGCTGGTAAACAAATCGATGAATCGAGACCAACGACGTAACCACTTATTCACCCCTGTCCGAACCGAGTTGGCCGACGTGTTTTGGTGGGGGGCCACGTGTATTCGAAGGAAGTGTATTACGGTGTCCCCGAACACACACACTTTTCTTATACTTTATGCCACACTTCGCATATACACGGCGCGCATTTAAATTACGTACGTGTGACTTCGGCGAACCGAATGTGCCCTTTCTAAATACTTTCAAGTAAGCATCAAGTTGATCCATCCCATTCCCCCGTTTAAATTTTATCTGACGAAGGATACAGTCGGGAATAAAATTTTTTATTTTTTTTATTTTTTTCATATGACAGAGTTCATAACATTCCGTCGAATTGGGAAATATGGTAATTTTATATTTTTTGGTTTCTCCTGCGCGTGTTGTTTCTTCTTTCTCAAATTAGAAACTGGAATTAGAGATCACGACGAGAGAATGAGAGAAAGAAAATCGTCTTCTCTAACCGCGTTGCGTTTAAAATTAAACCCAACGTTAGTGAAACTCACTCCAGCTATTTCTAGCTCTAGTCTTAAGCGCGAAAACATAGTGAATTGAACTAAACCATACAGCCACGTTACGCTTCGCTCCGTTCTGGAGAGAAAGAGAGAGAGAGAGAGAGAGAGAGAGAGAGGGACAAAGGATGAGTGTTAAACTAAGGTTAAAGTTACGCGACGTCGATGAAACCGGCCCCTCAGACTCGGAAGACACGTCGGGTACATAAAGTACCCACGTGCGATCACGCGCGGGCGTGCAGACACGCGGGCTTAACTGCGCACAGCGCGTCCGTCTGAGGGTTATAGGGTGAGAGAGCGAAGGAGAAGACAACACGATGTGCAATTTGATCCCCGCGTGCGAGTGAGCGGCGCGACAGCGGTAACGACGATGCAACGATGCCGTCTGACGTCATCACCGAATTCTCCGTCGTGGACATCGGACATGCGAACAGACAATCTGGCGTCTAGACGTACCAAAATAAATAACGCGCGGGGCCTCGCCCAAGTTTAAATTAGTCCTTCGCACACTCACTCGTAAACGCGCATTGTGCGCGTCGTCCTTGTCCAAGCGGCGGCGTCAAGTCCCTTACCGCCGCCGCTTGTTGTTTTGCATCCATAGGGGATGATCACGACGGAAGCGCGTAGAGAACGAGACATCGGAGTACGGAGTTCTCGACTCCGCGTCGTGCGACGCGTCGATTCTACTCGTGTTGCCCCGCGGCGACGTGAAGGAATCCGCTTGTTTTTTTTTTTTAAATTATAGTCGCCGAGTCTCTCCCATCAATTAATTCGCGATTACGTCGCAGAATTTTCGGCTCTCACGCGCGAGAGAGCTACGCGGTTGAACGTGGTGTGTGTCTATCTAGTCTGTATAGATCAAGTGCGCGGTTTATTTTAGAAAAAAAAAAAAAAAAAGAAGAAGAAAACAGTCGGTGGATGTCAGGGCAGGTTTTTCGCCGTCACGATGGAACTCGAGCATAACAACCGACATTTGTATCGGCCGTCGGTGTTTCTCAGAATTGTTTTCATAGCTCGGGGGAGGATAATATGCGAGACGTTCGGTTGTAAGATGGCAATCCCGCGAACAACAAAGTAGAGAGAAAGAGAGGAGCTCCGCAGAAAAACCAGCGCGTAAATATCGAGGAACGATAGGGTCTCACCTGGCATCGAGAGTCGCAGGGCAGTGCATCCGAGATACGCCTTCCTTAATGATAGAGTCAGACGAGGAGAGGCCCTTTCCTTTGGGGCCCTCTTCACGTCCGCTCTCCCCTTCGGGGAGACATTCAAGTGAGAATTTAAGACGCGCTGCCCACGCGCGCCAAATTATTCCGCCTTACGCTCGTTTCCCCCGGATCGGAATTGTAAAAAAAAAAAAAAAAACAAATTCCACCGACGCGCTTGATCGCCTGGACCGGCGACCGATCGGATCGACGCAGAGACGATTGTACGACGAGGTAAACGGGAGAGAGGCGGGGGCAGATGGAGAAACAGAACGAAAAAGAAATGGAAATCGCGCAATTTGCATGGTCTCTCTTCTCGCTGGCCGACACGTCGGGGCCGCGAGAGAAAGAGAGAGAGAGAGAGAGAGAGAGAGAGAACGGAGGCACAGACGGCAATCAAGATAAGGTCTCTCTTCTCGGGATCCGTCAGGAGATACTACGCTTCTCGGTTCGCCTTCCCGATTCTTCGATCGCTTCGTGGAATCGGGATTTGAATTTCGGATTGGATTGCGCAATCCGCGCGCGTTGGCACCCACGCGTAGGCGCGCAACGCAATCGTCGTCTCTTCGCCGACCAGACGGTCATTTTAAAACCAATACCCGCCTATCGGAAACACGCAGATCGTCCAGGAGAGAAGAGGAATTTCCCTCTGTCTCCTCTTCTTTTATATATCCCCGTTTGTTCATCCGTTCGAGCCTTTCGACTCTTTTCGATATTCCGTGCTCGTTCCCCAGACACAGACGAGAACACTCTCAGACCGGAATGCGAGAGAGACGCACTTTTATAAACTTTCTAATCTGAGAGAACGGAAACTCCTCTTTCGAGCGCACTTTTTATTAGATCGGAGAATCTATAACCACAGTCTCTCTCTCTCTCTCTCTCTCTCTGTCTCTCTTATAAATATAATATTCTCAATTCACCAAAATAAAAAGAAAAGCTGCTTTGCAAATTAAAATCGGAAACACATATAAAACACAATTCTAATTGTGACATGATTAATAATAAGTAATTGTAAAAAATTGAAATTTTATATTATTAATATATATATATTATATATTATATATTATATATATGTATATATATATATTTA